GAAAAAAAAACACCGTGCTGGAAAACTCAGCTTATACACGAGTATATACGGTAATTGGTATTGTTGAATTGTGCACATCAAAAATGAACTAATATTGGGTTATCCATATTTTAACCATGACACGGAACCAGCACCACCACCATACACACACATAAAAAACAACAACAAAAAAACTACCCAGATAAGACTGGGAGTAAATAAGTCAAATAAAATTATTTTAGAGAAAAGGCAACTAAGTGACCAAGGGAATTAAGGAATGTTCCTTAATGAAGAATAGCTCAATTTAACTGGAAAATAGGCGAGGAGCACTAAGAGAAAGCAAGACAGTGAATTCAGCTTTCGGTCAGATAATGAAGCATTCTCAAAAGTAACAACTGGAGCTTTTTCAGTTAAAAGTGGTGATGGTGGTGGTATTAACAAAGATATAAAGCATGAAGCAGATTCCAGAGGTATTACAGAATTAGTATGAATAGAAATATACAGCCGTTAGGATGAACGAAAAATATATAATGATTGTATAACACTGAATATTTGGAGGATGAATGCTGTAAAGATAACTATCATACACAGATTTCTTTACACTAAGGGAGCTTCAAATACATAAGCAACATATTTGACTTACACAACTTTTATTTTTCATGCTAAAATATTTACAAATTCTATTTTATCACACACAATTACAAGAGGAAGAGAGCTGAATTAAAAAATAAATAAGTTTCTGGGCATTTCTATGCATTTGTTACTAACAGAAGCGTGCTTTGTTACATGAACAGCAACAAGTGAAAATTACAGAACTTCCCAACTTGGAAATTTAATTTGTTTTTGTTGGGGTTCCTTCCGGACTTTAACCGGGTTAAGTACCTGTTATGGATAGAATACCCACGCTCTAAATGTGTTGTAAATTCTAACATCTATGCCTGTGGTTATACTTCCATTTGGGATTAGGTTGTCTTAGCACTGTGCATGAGGCAGGGTTAGCATGGGGACCCCTTGGTACAAACTCTTTTGAGTATAAAAGAGATTTAAAGAGTTGGGAGGCGGTACCAGGCCATGTGAAGATTACCCAGGAGCATAAGACAAAAAGGAGGCAAGGATCTTTATCCAGAGCATAGAGGGAAAAAAAATCTTCTCCGAGAACTGAATTCTGACTTGTAGGTTTCTAATTTTTGAGAAAATAACTTTGTTAAAGCCATCTACTTGTATTTATGTTAGACAGTATCCAAACATATCATCATGCTTTCTATTCTTTATTACAAGACCAATAAAACCATTGCTATTCAAATATCTGACCAAGCAAGGTTAGTCAGCAAGTGTTCTAAAACATTTTCTAAAATCTTTAGTTCCAAAAGGAAATGTAAGACAAACATACAAGGTATGGCTTGCTGACATTTTATGCTTAAAACAATTACATAATGAAATTCTGCATCTGAAAAAAACTTTTGTTACTTAGTATTGTTCCATCTTACATAATAATAAAAAAATGAACAGTACAAGGGGCTTAAAAAGTTCATGGACAAGTTTCATTAGCTTCTCATTCCATTTATCCACAAACTTATTGAAGCCCCCTAGTACTTACAGCACTTAGAATTATCCAACTTTAGCTGATACAGTGTCTCCCAGACTTCTAGTTTCTAAAATTCTGGGGGAATTGGGACAATTTGAATTGTAATTGTCTACATGGTAGTAATATTTATTGCCTCTTGGCCATTGGCCCAATATTAATGTTTTAATTTTTTTGTATACAAAATATCCTGAAAAGATTTCTCTTACACACATTTCAATTAATGTAATTAAATAGAAGGCAACAAGTTCCTTCTAGAAAAGGTGGATTTAACTACGAAAAACATGTCACATTATTCTTAACTTATGGAAATTAGTAGGGTCAAACAGATCACATTATTCAGCTTAGAGTCTGTGCTAAATACATGTACAATTATATTCACCATTTAAAATCAGAAATTACCTTTTTCTCCATAGCTTTAAAAACTTATCATTTGCTCACATCCAAACTAAGGACAAGTTTCAAAATTCATTCTGAATTTTGTATTCCAAGCACAAAAACATACAACTATAAGCTCTAATCATAAATTTTAGTTTGTAAGTGAATTTTTTAGATTAAAATAAGCATATCTGGGATGTTAAGGTTTTGATCCAAGCACATATTAACATAAAAATAAAACCCACATTAAAAAGAAATGCTTCCATCATTTTACTCACCCTCTCGAGCATGTTTTATACATATATATAAAATATATATAATAATATATAGATAATATATATATGTTTAAGGTAAACATCTCATTTAAAATGTGATTTTACAAAAAAAAAAAGTATTCGTTCTTAGATCTAGGAGTCAAAAGTAGTTGCTGCCTCTAGCTCTAAACAAACAAGGCCTAGTAAAGTCACACTAACAAAACTCATTTATATGTGACATAGTAAACCCCAACGCCACTGTTGTCGGACTTCACTGACCTTCGGTGACCCTATGCAGAGTAGAACTGCCCTTGTGGGTTTCCAAAGCGGTAGACTTTGAGCAGGAAGCCTCATCTTTGTTCCTCACAGTGGCTGGTGGATCCAAACTGCTGACTTTTATGTTAGCAGATCAGTGTCTAACCTACTGTGCCACCCAGGCACTTGTATTGAAACAAAGATGGTCACTTAGCAGTTGTAAGCAATTTTCCCAGTAGTGACTGTTCTCATACTGCTTTTACTTTTAAATCTCAAACATGTTTTCTATTATTTATAATTTCCATTGACAATGTTACCTCAGTACAAAAATTATCAATACTAAAATTACACAAAAAATTAACCCATACATAATGTTGCCATGTATTATTCCTCTTTTATGAAATTTCAAGTTCCTGTTTAGAGGTTTCAACATTATCAGTCTACCCCTACTGTTGTGTCAACTACTAGTTCTGTGAAGCTTCTCTCTTCATTCTCAATCATAGTAACCCGAGCCAGGCAGAGCTGTTCAACGGGTATCTTAAATTAGAAACACAGCTATGAAAGACAGAAAAACAACTTTTAGTAAGTCCCTCGCTCTATGTCTTTCCTTCCTCTTGCAAAAGAGGAGAACTCCATCACCTGACTCAGGATTGTGGGAGAAAACATGTGAAAGTGCTCAAAATGTGGCACAGTGATATATAGATGATCATCAACACAGTTTGGTGTAGTATTGACTTTGTTTCTAGCAAGAAAAGGCTATTAAGGTGTAATGCAAGATAAAGTTATTACTAGTGCTATCAGAATAAATTTTCAACATTTTTAACCATGTCCTTTGGATAAAGACTAAGAGCAATATTAAAAAACAGTCATCTTATTATTACATAAGAACAAGAATTTGACACTGGCCTAACAAAGGTTAGTCTCATTTTTCTGAATTTTTACAGGTATAACGACCTCACCTGGGTGTGCTGTTCTCTTACTTATAGCCTGTGTTGTTCCAACTTTCCCTGGTAACCCCTAAAAACAGTTGTAGGCATTTTTTTCTCCCCCTTTAAACACTTGTTTTAAATTCTAGTGTTTTCTGACTTAACACTATATTTAAGCTAGGTATACAATGGATACTTAATAGATTATAGTTTCTTAAACATAAAAAAATTTTTTTACACTGTTATCTAACTACTGTATCTATCTCTAGATCTCTTGCTAAATGTGAAACAGGGCAAATGACTGATGTGGTAGAAACAAACAGATCTGGAAGCCCTGGTCTAGAGAGAAGTGATATTGAGTCACTGGAGAAGGGGCGGCAAAGGGGCCTAGAGGCTTAGAGGCAAAGAATGAGAGCGCTGAAATGAAAATTGTTTTGAAAATACAAACTAAATCAATACCGTGGAGAAGTGTGTAGTTCCACCCACACAAAAGTAGCTAGTAAATTTATCAAAAGAAAAGATTAGAAAATTTATAGTGGCTGTAAAGTGGTAATTGTGGTATAACAATAAGGTTGGATGAGATAGCAATGGGAAAAAGATGAGTAAGGAAAATAAGTCAGCCACATCTACACATTTACAATGTTCACTTGTTAAAACTTGGTGACTAATTTTAAAAGCTAAAGGGAGGCCAGATGTGTTTAAAGGCCAAAGTGAGGGCTTCATTAGTAAATAAAGTATGTTTATAGTTGAGAAGCAGACTGATAAATAGGTTGTTTCAGAATTAAGTTAGGCACTTGGGGTTGGGAAACTTTGAGATAGACCAGAATTCTGTCACTAGAAAAAAAAGGAAATTAAGCTCAAGCCTCTTACATTTTTGGCATTATTATCTCAGCCTCTAGGCTCAGTGATATGTACAAAAGGTACTTAAGACTGTGGAAATAGGTAAAGACTAAATAGAAAATGTATTAAAAATGTAAAATAGTAGGTCAATAATTTATTTTTAAAACAATTTTAAATAAAATCAAAAGTAGCAAACTTTTAGAACATATCTATGCAATGTGCAATGTGACTAGAATTTTAAAAGCATAATAAAAGCTTGACTTTGATAGTCATTATTCAATGAGCTTGAATAATTTCTACAAAATAATTACTTTCTCTAAATCATTTATAAAGTTGATGACTAATACTTAAAGAGTTAAAAGCAAAGGTTCTTCACAATTTTTAGCATGAAAAGCAACATTAAAAAAAGGATCACAAAAATATTTGATTTCAATCTATTTTATGCTATTATGTGATATGTAATTGGAACCATATTCACATTCTATAGGTTTCCAGATTTCACTTATTTTTCTAAACAACTTTAATTTTGAATCTGTTATCACTTTGACATTAAAACTATATAAAAGCCATGCACAGTTTATTTACAATATTGTACAATAAATTAATATTTTTAAAGACCACACAAAAATTTCACAAAACTGTTACCATGGAAAGACATGAAACACATTATCCAAGGGTATTATAAAATTTTAGGCATTAGGATTTTACAAAGATTATTTTGGTTTCTAAGTGTTACTCAAGCACTGGCTTGAAATGTTTGGAGCCATCCAGCTGGATCCAACTCATAGGGCCCCTCTGTACAACAGAAGGAAACGCTGCCTGTTCCTCTATCACTGGCACAGTTACGGGTGGCGTTTGAGCCACAGCTACAGTCCTCCTTATGGAAGGTGTTCCTCTCTTCTGCTGACCCTCCACTCTATCAGGCATGGGTCCTTCTTGGTGCTGGTCGTTGCTGACAAGTTCCAAAATATGAGATGAAATCTTGCTGTTCTTGCGGATAAGGAGCATTCTAGTTGTACTTCTTCCAAGAGAAATTTGTTCATTTTTCTGTATATTACTCAACATTCTTTGTGAATACCCAAATACAAATGCATTAATTATTTTCCAGTCTTTAGTCACTGCCCAACTTTCATATGCCTACAGTGACTAAAAATATCTGGCTGGGGTCAGGCACACCTGAAGTCTTCACAAGGACATCTTTGCTCTTTAACATGTCAAAGAGTATTCTCCAGATTTGCCCAACGTAATTTATCACTTGATTTCTTGACTGCTGCCGCCACGAGTGTTGACTGTGGATCCAAGTAAAATGAAATTCTTAATAACTTTGATCCTTTCTCTATTTATCACGGTGTTTTTTACTGATACATTGTGAGGAATTTTGTTTTTGTTACCCTGAAGTGTAATCCTACTGAAGGCTTGGTCTTTGTGATCTTCATCAGTAAGTGCTCCAAATTCTTTTGGCTTTAGTAAGCAAGGTTGTGGCACCTGCATATTGCAGGATGTTAGTGAATCTTCCTGAAATCCTAATACCATATTCTTTCTCATAGTCCCAACTTCTCAGAGTACTTGCCCTGCATCCAGATTGACTAAGTATAGAAGGATACAATCCAGATACTCCTTTCCTGAATTTAAATCATTCACCATTCTCCGTTCTGTTCACTGCCTCTTGGTTTATGTACAGGTTGTACATGAGCAGAATTAATTTATGTGTTCTAGGAATCCCATTCTTCATAATGAGTCTGGCTAAACATGCAAATGAGCAGAATTCCAACAAACGAAAGCTGAAAGCTTAAATATCAGGTAGTTGAAATACTACCACTTAACAATGGAAATTTATAAAATAGGAAAAAGTTAATGACTTAAGAAGTCTTCCATGAATAACACTCTCAATATCCCTATAAAAGCACTCAGAAATAAAAGTTTCCAAATTACGTTCTTCACCGGAATTATATTTTTAGTAGTGATTGGAGCTGTGAATTTCAAATTAAAATTTATTGTCCAATAGAAGTCTCCTCTCTTTTCCCAAATTGGTTGGGGGGTGGGAGGGTGGCTAAGGGAGGGGCAAGAAAAATCAGTCAATTTAGCTTCAAGTGAAATAGCTGGGTACAAATACAGCATTTACCATTAGAATGGAGAGCTGCAATAACTGGAAGTCCACATACTTCTAACTGGACTCTTAAAAGTTGGAGTGTAAACTTTAGGCTTGTTCAATTTAAAATCTCCTACTGGGAAGTACTTCATATTTGAAAGTTTAGAAAATATCAGTGGGCCTTTATTCATTTCTAGTTGCATCTCTTTCAGTTTTCATGGCTGTGAATGAAGTACATTTAGATATTCAGAGTGGCCCAGATGGTAAGTTGTGTTCCTTCCACAGTCAACATACTGGTACCTCTCCTGGGATGTCTGCTCAGGGTGTCCAAAATATGTTGTTGTCACAGTAACTCTGGGGATAAAATCAAGGCAGAGAAATATGAATAGTTACATCAAAAGGTTTTCTAATGTGAACATACCTTTAAACAGTAAAGTCTTTCCAGAGAGAAAATATTTGATTAATGATAACTAAATATTATAAACTCAGCAGCGGTTCTCAACCTGTAGGTCATGACCCCTTTGTAGGTGGGATGACGACTCTTTCACAGGGGTTGCCTGATTCATGACAGTAGCAAAATGAGAGTTATGAAGTAGCAACGAAAATAATTTTATGCTTGGTCACCACCACATGAGGTGACAAAATATTAAAGGGTCGCAGCATTAGGAAGGTTGAGAACCTCTGCTCCCGAGGAAGTATTTCCCCACAAGACACCTGCAATCATAGGTGGAAATGCAAGCAATTACTGTATATATAGTAAATATAACTTTCTGAAAACTTTTAGCTTCAGTTCAAAATAAATGTTAAAAGGCAGCAACCCTACAAGGATAGAGTAACTGCTCCATAGTTACCTTTTTTTCCTTAACAGATTTTTGGCACTTCATCCACACATCATAGGATTCAATAATTCAATCATATCAAGAAAAGTTTTAAAACTATCACGAAAATCAATTTTAGAAGTTATTCACATATTTTTTTAATCGTGGCAAAATATACACAAAACATTCTCCAATTCAACAACTTCTACATATATAATCCAGAGCCACCGATTACACTCTTTTTGGTGTACAACCATTATTGATATCCTTTTCCAAATTATTCTACCACCATTAACATAAACTCAATGCCCCAAAGCAAAGCTCTCCCTCCTTCACCCACCATTGGTCAAGTGTGATTTCTTTCCCTCTTTTTTGGGTAGTTTTCTTGATAGAGTATTCACATAGCATACACTTACATAGTTAAATCATTTTTAAAAAGGATTTTACATACATCATCACAATTAGTTCTAATGCCCCCCCCACAAGGGCTGTAATCTTCATGGGGAACACATATTGCTACATCTTTCTCAAGTCTAACAGCTTCTAGGTTTGAGCCTTCTAGATTTGGGTCAGCAGCTGAGCACGCACTAAACTGCTGTTTAACCATCAGGCAATAACAGTAACAAACTGCTTCCATTTCAAAGTTAGGTTTCAAACTTTTTTCTAATTCAGAATTTATTTCCTAAAGGAAAACTGCTTACATTTTCAAACAGATTCCACAAAGCCTATTTAATCTTTGAAAAAGATAGGCTACTGAGATATAGTCAATTAATATGGTCCTTCTAGACACAGTATGTGAAGCATTACAAATTTTAGACTCTGCCCGTGGCTCTAACTCCATTTTGGAGAGAGTTCTCTGCTAAGTCAATAGATAGGCTTCAAGTGGATTTAGCAGCTGACATAAATCAAGCCACACCCTGGGCTCCCTTGGGGATATACTCTGCTCAAAGAGGAACACCACACCTTAAAGCCATTCCTTTGTTCCAGAGCCATATCAGAGCTGAGTGAAAACCATCAGAAGTAGGGTGTGATGGAGAATTCTGTCTAAAGGGGCCAAGCCAAGACTGAGATCAGAGGCACCAGAGGTGGCTGCACAAAGACCATGAGACAGCAAAGGAGCGAGGCAGAGACTGGAGGTCAAGGCAAGGAGGCCATGCTACCACAGAGGAGCAGTGATGAGATGATGAGACTGAGGCACAGCAGTACACTGACTGCCTCGGACAATGTGGCTGAATGACTGAGGGCTGGAAAGAGCCTGGGCTACGGGCTGAAGAAAGGTGAAGCTGCAGACCAATGATTACATTCTTAATGCATTCTAGTTCTGGCTCGGAAATTATTGAACCCAGCAAAGAAGTAGAGTGCTTTGGGAGCAACAGGGTGGTATTAGAATAGGTGAAGAATAGTGACCTCTGCCTTTTGGCAATAGGGAAGTCAGAGGATGTTAGATATGGACCCTCTTCATTAAGAGCTACCTTATCTCAAATTCATAATTAAAAAATAAAACCAACGATGCTGCAATAACATCTTAAAAGAACTAAATTAAGAAAATGTCTATTATTGATGCTAATAATGAGGTGGTATTTAGGGATTCTGGGAGTTTTACTTACTTTGACAAACTTTGTTTTTCACCCTGGACATTTTATGTATTTTGCTTTTATAAAAAGCAAACGATGCACTACTTCAACAGTTTCTGCATGTGCGACTTAGTGCTACAAGTTAGGCTCTGAGTTAGCGACTCTTCATGCTCTCCTTTCCTGAGCCAGGCTTCCCCACTCACAGACACTCACTGAACCCTGGGGTTCCTAGCCAATCTTTTACATTGCTGTTGCTATTTCTATTTTAAAAGGGGGGTGGGGTGGGCTGGTTAAAATTATAATTTCTCAAAGTGATTATAAAAGCCAAATTATAATTGTGAAATCCAATGGATATCACTGCTCTTCTACTACTGAATCCAATCCTTAAAAAATTCAAAATTTCTTTTTCAATAAAACTCAGTAATTACAAAATGTCAAAATAATGGTACTATGGCTCATTTCAAGTTACAAAAGTAATTAAGGATGGTGAAGATTAAAAATAAACATTTAGGAGAAAGAAGACTATGGTTATCCCGGCTTCTCTCCTCACTCCCTAGTATTCCCTGAAACTCAGAACTCAAAGAATGGTTAATGCTCTGCATCATGACTCTGTCGATATTAAGCTACAGACCTTCCAATAATTTTTACATCTAATTAACTTGACTCCTTATTGAAAACCATACACTATCCTACAACTGCCCTGTTCTATCATCAAACTAAACCAGTGGTTCTCAACCTTGCTAATGCCGTGACCCTTTAATATGTTGTCACCTTATGTTGTGGTGACCCCCCAACCATAAGATTATTTTAGTTGGTACTGCATAACTGTAATTTTACTACTGTTATGAGTTGGGTGATCCCTGTGAAAGGGTCATTTGATGCCCAAAGGGGTCACGACCCACAGGTTGGGAACCGCTGAACTAAACTCACTGCCAATGAGCTGATTCTGACTCATATCAACCCTATGTACAACAGAAGTTTTACCCTGCATCATACTCATAATCATATGAAAGCCCATTATTGTGTTCGCTGTCAAGCTATCACTCGCTACTTTACTAAATATGCTGTTCTTTTCTAGGGACTACTCTCCTGAGAACATGCCCCAAATTCATGAGACGAAGTCTCTCCATTCTCGTCTCTGGAAGGAGCATTCTGGTTGCACTTCGTTCAAGACAAGATGTTTGCTCTTTCGGTAGTCTGTGGCACTTTCATTATTTTTCCCAAAGCAATAATTCAAAGACATCAATTCTTTTTAGTCTTCTTATTCGATGTCTAAATTCCACACACGAGTTGACTAAAAATAGCATGTTTGGCAGGTGCACCTTAGTCCTTAAAGTGACATCCTTGCTTTTCAACATTTTTTTTTTT